CACCGGGACGGCGGCCCCCCGGGCGCGCCGGGCGGGGGGGGGGCGGAGGGGCGGGCGGCCGCGCCGGTCTGTCGTCAGGCAAATGCGTTAAAATAAAGTAATAAAAAAAAAAATCAATCAAAAAACGCCAAACGTCGGAAAACCAGCAAATGAATGCTTCCAAACCCAGCGACAAATGCCAGGTGGTATTTCCACCGCACCCCCGACTACCTGCGATAAACGCCCCACAGAAGATTTCTGATTCCTGGGGTGGTTATTCCAGGCAATACATCAACTATGCCGCGATTCATAAGTGAAATGAGTCTCGAAGCACAGAACTCCTTCCCTGCCTCGCAGGTTCTGTTACCACTAATATGTATTTTTTTGGCATGGTACCTGCCCAGTTTCTGCTCTTAAAAATGGGAGTTTCGCCCAAAATAGCACCCTCTGTGACACTGCAGACTTCAGGAGAGTTACACCAGAGATGAATCATTCCTAGCTGAAGTAACTGCGTTTGGCTGTACAGAATTAGTGAGCAATCCAGCAAAGTCCATCTTTTAACAGCCGGAGCGGGCTACCAGCAGCGTCATCCCCTAACGCTACAGGGCACTTTCCAAGAGGATCCAGCCTGCAGCCATTCCACCCTTTCCCATTATTGAAAATATTTCAAGACTCTTCCAAGAGAGGTGAGGCCACAGCCTTGAACACCTTCCAAGGAGGAAATAGGAGGGAGTTCACCTCTCCGATTTTCCTAACGCTGTGGAAGCCAGACTGCTCCAGACAGAGGCACCGCGCGTTGTGGGGTGATGTCAGTTGGTGCTGCCGTCTTCCAGATAACTCATCTGTTAGATATTCGCTTCTCAAGTCTTCCTCCTCCTCACCGTCGTGATTTGATTTACTAAATGAGTTACAACCGCAATAAACATTAAGGCAGGTCAGTCTTAAAGGCATTCATTACATGCAGCAAAACAAGACAAATCTTGGTCTACAGAAAGGTGGACAACATATGAACTATTACTCTAGGCAGACCTGGCAGGAGCTTATCATTTTCCATCCTACATCCCTATATTCATCTGATTACGATTTTGCCAAATTTAAATCATCCAGGTGGAAAAAATTCTGTTCTGAGGGAATCTGCCTCATGCTAAGTGTGTTTAAGGTTTCAGAAAAACTGGTTCAGCTGTTTCTGAGCATTGGGTTAGAGGAAAGCAGATTTTTTCCCTGGCATTTAGACATCCTTGCCTTGTACTGAAAACCTGCGGTGCCCCACCACAAGGGAAACTTCAGGAGAATGAAAGCATCCAGCAAAAAGTCAGCCAGGGGTTGCCTCTTCGGTTCTTCCCTTGCTCTTCCACCTGGGGCTGTGGTTTACAGTTGGGCAAAATAAAGATCCCAAACCTCTGCAGAGAGACATGGACACCTTGGGAACGTTTAGGCCACCCATGGGCCTGACTTGGCTCTGTGATGATTTGAAGAGCTCTTCTTTCTTGGCACCAAATATTTGTGGGTATGAGACATGTGCTGCCACCAGCAAGTGCCCTTTTCCTATATGCTGTCACCAGCTCCGAGAAAAAAAAAAAAGAAAAAAAGCTACAGAAAAGCTTTAATGGTGCTTTTGAGTCTTGTCAAGGATTTCCAAGGCAACACATGCCAGACCCTCAGGGGAGCACATTGGTAAGGTGCCTCCATTTCCTCCAGCCCCCAATATTGTTAATATCTCTTCTGGGACACGTTGACTTGCAAAGTGGGATATGCAACATTTATGGCTCTGTGGTAAAAGGAAGGAACACATGGCCCCGTATTATAAACATAGTTTAATACCACTTTCTTTCTGGACTGGGCTGTCCTAGTGATTACCGTGATACCAGCTTCTCTAACCGGGAGTTTAATTCAGCTGAAGTGTGACATAATTCACCAGAGTTTTCTTCTGAATTGCAAAGAGGCATCCCATGAAACTACGTAGGCTGTAATGTTTTTTGGAATGCACTTTCCTAACCCTTCCTTGGCCTGAAGAGTTTCTTATCTGACCATTATGAGAATGTGGTGAACAATGCTATGAAAAACAAAGCAATATATTGTTCCTTACAGGCTCATATTTCCTATATATCTGCCACCACAAACCATGAGCTATTTTGGATCCTGCCTCTAAGTGCAACTGAAAGCTGCTTGGTTAATTATGTTTATTTGGGGTGATGGCAACTGTGACATGTTAAAACTTCTCTGTATTCTTATGTGTTGGCTACACACAGAAAGATTACACCCAAAAACACATATAATTCCCAGGGGCTAGATTGTCTCTCACATCTTGCACAATCATTTACGTAAGTGCAAACTGAATATAAAACGCTGCTAACACAGACTGCTGGCTACTGTACACCCACTCTGTGTTGATATAAATGACTATAACAAGATACCAGACAATGGAGAATCTGCCTAAACTACAGTGATGACAAACCATCTTTTTTTTTACAGAGTAATCAGAATATGAAATACTGTACATTTCAAAGAGGACTTGTGCAGCAAGATTTTTCACTGTAACAGTTCCAATGGGTCCAAAGTACACACAGCTAAATTTGATGTCAGTAGGAATTAGGTATGAATAGGGAGTGTTACTTAGTTATTTTTGTTAATGTTTTCCAGAGCTTACACATTCACTCTACATTTTTTAGCAAACTTTATCATTTTGGCATCATAAAATCAATCCCTAGATAGGTTTGTTTTATCTGGAGCTGGTACGCACATGCAGTTGCTGTTAATAGTCAAATATAGAAGCTTACAATAATAATCTAGCTAACTATTAATGGCTGTTTAACAGTGGAGTTAGAAGGATGGATCTGAAATCTGTCCTCATCTGAAAAATAGATTGCTAGACTCTCAGGTGCAGAAATTGTTTAAAGGCTTCATTTCCATGGGTAGGAGCCAAAATACTTGGGTAGAATTGGCACTAAAAGGCTAGAGGAGGAATTGCCTTAGAGACAGATTCAGAACTTGTGTAATGGGTTTGGAGTCCATTGAAGCTGATGATTTTCATAGGCAAATCATGTATTTTTTCATAACAGAATGACAGAATACGCCTTGACGGTTGCACATGGAAAGATCTCATAAAGTACAATATTAAATGGCAGAAAGGAAAGGAAGAATCATTTTTCCCCAAGGCAGGTATCTCCCCCTCTCGCTCCTGCCCCTGAGCTGAGGTCTCCCTGTAATGGCAACTGCGTAGCCCCGAATCCACTGATGAAACACGGCAGCCTCAGTTGCAGATGGTACCCAGCCTCAAGTATCGGAGTCCAGAGGACCTTATTGTGCCACCTGTACTCTGTTAGGTCACACCAGAGGTGGCAGGAGAGTTACTGCTAGGTGTGAGGACACTACAGTTTCCTGAGAGTGGCAAAATCTCAGTGTCCCAGAGTACCAGTGGCACTTTCAGCTACACAGAGAATATTTGGCACCTGCCAGTGAGGACTTCTGCTTTGCGACAGGGACTTAGGAGGATGCCGTGTCCTCTGGGAGCACAGCTAAGCTGGCCTTTGCACAGTTTGCCCCACTCCAGGTGCAGAATCGGGAAGGACTGACTTCTGAATTGTCCAGCTCTGCCGACAGCTCTGGTTTGGCCCCTGGTAATGGTATCATGGAGCGGAGAGGAAACCTGCATGATTTGGGAGATAAAGCAAAACCAAGACACTTTCCCCAGTCGAAGTGGAGGGTAAGGGCTTCCATTCAATGTGAGGGATATAGGAGCAATTGACATCCAACCTGGAAAGTTATTTTATTGTTACTGTTCTGAAAGCATGCATCATTTAATAAACAAAGCCTTGCCTCGGCTCTGTGTTCACTGGTGGCTGTCTAAAATGATGTGAGCTCAAGCTGGCTCAGAGGAAGGTGTAGGTGAGCATCCTGAGTGGGTCTTTGCCATGTCTGGTTTCATTGACCCTCTCCGGCAATAATCACCTGTCAGGCAAGTCCCTGTTCAAGTCCCTTCAGAGTCTGGAAATAAGGGGAATGCTTTTGCAAAGCTGCAGGCTTTCCCATGTTCTATGAGTTTATTTCGTAGCCTTTTGGGGTTTTTTTATTTTTATTTTTCTTCCCTGGAGTCTGGTTGGGAAATTTGTCTTGGTTGAGCTATCGTGTTTCTACGCTTTGCTTCTCTGTGTCAGCAGTGCTGGTTTTTTTTGTGCAGCTGAGAGTACAGCTCTCCTGGTAGGCATGAAGTCAGGCGGACAGCAAGGTGCTTTATACCAACTATAATTACTCTGGAACGGAAACTAGGACAACAATATATGCTGGGATGGCAATATCCACACCACAACTTGTACTCATTATAGTACTTCTGCTAAAAGCAAACCAAAAAATAAGTCATGCTTGACATGAAAATAAATATGCCAATAAAAAACCTATATATAATCTGTAAAATCTGTATTCAAAACATTAGAGTTCTTTCCTAGTACTTTAAGGATTGGGTTTGACTAACTTTTCTGAGCAGCTTTAAGAGCAGCTCTTTCTCAATCCTTCCGTAGTTTGACCATCTCATAATCTTACCTCATCCTAGTACTGGGGCCTGAAATTGTAGGTGCAGACGTAGGAGTTTTAGTGTTGCGGAATCTAAACCATAGCCCAGATGTTTCCTTGAAGTCACACCATGACATCAGAGCCAAACCCGATGTAGATGCTAACCTGAATCTTGATCTCTAACCATACTTTGTTTATTTTAAAATACTTGCTTTAAAACATTATAGTAAAATTACTATAAAAAGATGTAAATATGTATCTGAATAGTATCCTCAGTAGCCAGACAGGTGATACATAGCTGCTGAGAAGGAGCAGCTGGACTTCAACCCAGAGCTTAGTGCTGCATCCTTGTAGGTGCTTGTACACTGTTCAGCTCAGCTGCTGAATTAGCAGAGTAATTCAGAGGCAGTCCACGCTTCTGCACCTACATCTGCTGGAGCAGGCACGCGCAGAAAATGCCTGGAGAAGGAGCACTGCGTTGGGGCTCCCCTTCCCCAGCACAGGCAGCAAATCCCCACCGTTCAAAAGCATGTCTGCTTCCAGGGACTCCAAGGCAGCAACAGGCAGTGCAGTTTGCGGGGGTCATTCATGCAGTGAGCAATGAGAAACGTTATGTGTGTGGGTCACAGGCCAATCCAAGTGGTTCTTCACATGTCAAGGTACAGCCAAATATATAATCGGCACATGAATAGAAATGGGATTTTTAAAATCTGTTCAGTCTCACTGGATACGTAGAACATCTGGGGAGGAGATGCAGAAAGCAGACTGCTCACCAGGACAGAGACTTCAGAGACACTGTAGATTGTGGGAGAGACCCACAAATTACAGAATCATAATAGACCAAAACAATTCCTTGTATAATATTACCAACACGTACTAGAAATTAACTGGAGAAATATCTTCCTTTTAGAAGAACAGATGCTACAGTGCCTTCTGTGTAGGTGTGTGTTTTAAATTTCTGTAATCTGACTTTAGGAAATATATACTATTTCAGTAATTTTCTTAAAAAGTCAATGAAAATTAAAGTCTCAGGATTAATTAACATGATATAACCAATTTAAACTGAAGGAAGAGGTAACTCACATTCATTCTTTGAAGAACATCTGACAGCCTGGGAGGAACTGGGTGAGCCCTGCCTGACTTCTGCCATTACATCACCTTCTAGGAGATTTGTTCTTGAAGAAAGGAGGTCTTCTACAGTCTCAGATGCACTGCAAATCTGACCATAAGTAAAGGCAGGTTTAGTTGGACCATGATTACAGAATCAAGTCAGAACAGTCTACCTTTAAAGATAAATAAGCAATTTAATTTTAGGGTGTGCCTAAACCAAGCCCTCACTGCATCACTTCATTTCTGTGGCTTCCAAGCTGCTTTTCTATTGTTTTTGTCTCTTCCAAATTATGTTGCATTTCACCTGAGGACTGAATCTATTGGGAGACACGACATTGCTCTTTATGTAGCCTTCATAGCACCCATCAGATACCTGTGAAATATTAAACTGTAAGAATGTATGTTAAAGTCAGTTAGCCAGGATAAGTGTGTTCTATAGATAAACGGGTTTGTTTGGGAGGAGCACCACAGCCGGTCAAAGCCTCTGTCTGTATCACTGAAGAGTAAATTCCTAAAGAGTCAGGATGCTCTAGATAACCATAAAATCACAGAAAGTAGCAGACAGAAGTCGTGTTGGCCAGGTCTGCCACACAGCGCGCACTCCTCAAAACCCTGCTGCAGTTACATCTATTGCAACTCAATGCTCTTTCATTTTCTGCCTATTGCATTTTCATTCCATGTTGCAGTGGCATTTTCTACAGTTTTCTTCATATTTAGTTCACACATGGGCTTTGGACACATCAGTCGTCCTGCTGTGGGTTTCATGATGTGAATAGCTTCTTAGGAGTACACAGAGACCTACAGATAAAGCCCAAACAGGATTAGTCTTTCCATGTCTGCCTACAACCTAACTCAGACCCAGGGATATGCTTCCTCCAGAGAATGCCTGAACCAAGGTCGAGGTCCTGTGGGCATTGCCACAGACAAGAACGTGAATGGGACATGAACAGCGCTTCTGTCTGCTTTTGGGACACGCAGAGCAACGACTCCAACGGCACCAACTGGGCCTTTCTGCTGGGCCACGAGAGGTGGCTCAAGCCCCTCTTCATAGTGTGGGCAATGGAACTCACAGTTTCTCTCCACTGGGCGAGAGCATCATACCCTGTGTGCTCCTGGCAAACGTTACGTGCTGAGACCTGGAACGCCCAGGTCAAACCCAGACATGGGGCAAGGCCGGGGATGGTGAAGTATTGTTATTACATTTTCTTTCTGCTAAGCCCATCATTACTTACGCTACTGTCTTGTCCCACACTAACCTAGTTCCTCTCATTCCTGCAGGTTTACACTTAAAACATTAGTTAACAGTTATTATGTCATCTTACTCCCTAAG